ATATATATATATATACATATCGTTTGTTAATGTTATTTGTTATAACTTGCTTCGAATCATTCCACGCGTAGAAAAGATACTTTGTTCGAAATAATTTTTCGCTTTCTTGTGCGATGCTTTTGTTGTTCACCGTCTAAAAATCTTAAACCGCATAAGCGGTTCTAAACAATATTTATTCGTTAACATTTATGGTTTCTTGGTGAAAGAGAAAGAATTTTTCGAAAGGCGAAAACGTGTTAATTAAAAGTGACTTGCGAGAATTAAAAAACGGAGGAAATTTTTAAGTCTCGTCGGCGAAGAGCAATAGAAAATTTGTGACCAGATTTGTTCCCCGTTGTTGATGAGACGTTTTAAGGGATGGAAGTGGGCAAATCTATTTTTCAATGTTTGTTGATTTAAATATGCTGCGATAATTACTGCCATAATATACCTTACAAAGGGAAATTATACGTCAAAGATAAATCTTGTTATAACGCGAAAGAACCATCGAGGCACGCTTCGTTTGCCCACTTCTTCTTCGAAAACTCAGTAGAGTATTTTGCTGCGAATAAGTGAACAAAAAAATCCGCTTGTGTGTATACATACGTGTGTACGTGTACTTAACGTGTACTAACTTAAGAATATGTGATTTTACTTTTTACTTTTAATTTATATACACGCAAGTTTATCATGCGAATTTTATGTGCGAATTGTGATTAAATCTCTTCAACGAGAGATTGTACGATTCGCATACGAGTAATATTTAATTGACCCATTGGCCTAATTATTACATAAAGAATGATGATTAGTTAGCGAGAGGCGTCGATACTATTTATCGATTGAAATAATCGTCTGTACTAGTGCGACTGTACTTTTCGACTGGCTGAAATTGTTCAAATTATACTTCCCTCGTTTCGTTTCTCTTCGGAAAAGAAGAAGAAAGAAAATTAGAAAAGGACGCGTAGAAGTTGCGTTAGTTGAACGGAAAATAAATAGTGAGTCAATGTAGGCAAATAGATTATCTAAGGAAATGTGATTTTACTTTTAAGACCAATCTGTGTTAAATTCGTGAAACTTCACCGGTTCTGAGCCAGTGGCCATGTCGCCTGATCCTTTAGTTATCGCTTGATATTTAAGAAATTTTCGGAATTTAAGGGAAGAAAAAAACTGTAAGGTCAGAACCGTTCATCAAGATGGTAATTCGATGCGTGAAGGAAATAAAGTTTAGGAAAGTAGCTTAAGGAATGAAAATAACAAGTATAAATCCAACTTGAAAAATTTATTACGATCGTTACGATTCTTCATCTTGATTGAAGACGATCTTCCGGGAAGAGAATTTCTCTACGATCTCAGGAATGTGATTTATAAATTCATTTCCGAATATTATCGATTATCGTTTTCAAGTGTTTTAATGTTTTAACGATAGATATTAATTTACTTATTATATAGTTAAAGGAAAATCGATCGATCGATCAAATTAGGTTATAAGCGACCGTGGCGACTAGCCAGTCACCGAAAAAACTAACGTTCGTACTTATAGTCATTTCTAACATCTCGAGTGTTACTTATTTTTGCTACTTCAACCCCTTCTTCCCCTAAAAATTCTTTAACATAACAATTAAACAAATGGGAGAAAATAGAAAAGAAAGAAATTGGAAGTTATTACTATGAATGGAAGGGGTAAAAGGTAGAAAAGGATCGCTCGAGAATTGCCTCGATTGCCAAGAAAAATCCGATCGGCAGAACGAAACTCGTTAATTGTTCCCGTCCGATTTTTCGATAATGGACACGCCCGAGGCAAGACTGTTAATTTATCACATACTTAATAACCAATATAAGATGGGGCTGCTGTATTTTTACACGGACTTTGTATAAATGACGAGAAGAACCGCGAGAGCAATGTTTTTCGCGCATCATTGTATATATCTGTATACCAATAAATAGACGTAGGATTAAAAATTTAATTTCTTTATCTTGAATCATTGTTCATAAATTCTGGTTTGTTCGAAGTTTTTTTTGATTGATTAAGAATTGATTCCGACAAACTCTTAATTTTGCATGTCTTATCATTCGTATTATCTTCTATTTGTAAATATTCCTTTAATTCTTTCATACGCTTTATGTTACTTTCCTCTATCATCTTTCGCAAGTCGTTTCCATATCGTAGAACTAAAAGGAAAATATTTATAACAAGAGATAAGCATTGGTTCGTTTCATAATTAAATGTTGTATTGCGATCGTGTTTTTAATATGATACGGAAATGTACTTTTTTCGCGTCGTATTTCCTGCTTTTCTCTTTCTTTTTCCTCCTGCTTTTTTCGTTCCTCTATCAAATAATTAGCAAAAGCAACATCGATCGCAATTTCTTTCGCTTTTCTTTCGGCCATAATTTTCTGAGTTCTTGCCTATTGATTTTGACAACCTTCGATAATTATTCGCTTCTTAATAAACGCGATCAAAATGACACCGGTGTACGAATATAATATATTTTTACCATTTCTTGTAAGAATTCTTTAGCAGTTTGTTTTTTTTTCAATGCCATTGTAATCGCTTCCTTTTTCAATTGATGTTCTTTCTCTGCTATATATAATTCTCGACAGATTTCTTCTCGTTCCAATCTTTTATACTCTTCCTCCGTTAACTTTTTCATCATTTTCTCCAACAAAACATCTTTCGCCGCACGAATATCAACCTGGAGAAAACAATATTACTATTAAAACAATTCAATTCCGATAAATTTACATGTTTACAAAACCTTTCCCTCAGCTTCCCTCTTTTGCAGAGCTTCTCTCTTGGCAACGATCCTTGAGATTTCATCGTGTTCTTGCTTCAGAATCTCCTTTCTCTTTTCTTTCCAAAATTCTCGAGCTTTTAAAAAAGCATCCCTTTCAGTTTGTAATGTAATAGCGATTTCCTTTTTTTTCTTCTCCGCTTCCACATTCTCCTCGTGCAACACTTTATTAATTTCTTCTGTTATTTTTCTCTCACGATGCTTCTCCTCCTCTTTCTCGCGTAATCTACGTCTATTATCGATCAACTGATTTTGAAGATCTCTTCTGTATTTTAATTTCTCCTCCTGTTGCTTTATAAAATCTTCTTTCACATTCCATGGAGGGATCAAATTGGACACTTGTACCACCTCTTCTTTCCATTCTTCTTTCTTCAAATCGGTTTCTAACTTTTCGAAAATCTCTTTAGGTAAAGTTACAGCGAATTTCTTTTTTCTAATCTTTAAAGATTCTTGCAGCTCAAGCTCTGTATTATATTAAATTCATACGATTAACCTCACAATGAGTTAATAAAAACAATTGTGTTTTTACGTTTACGACGTGCAAGTTCTTCTGCTAGTCGATGCGTGCGATCAAGTTGTCGAACTTTTAAATCTGCAGCTGCTTTGGCGTGTTGAAGTTGTTCCGCTTCCAATGCTTCTTTGCGTTCAATATGCTTTTGACGCAAATGTCGCTTTTTTTCGGCTGTCTTATCTATGATTCTTCGCCGTATCTCTATTTCCAAAGATTTTTGATCCTTGATACTTTCAAAATCAGGTTGTTCTCTAATATTAAACATGATTTAGTTCAATTTAAATGTAAATGTAACTTGTTGAAAAATTTCTATTCCTTATATATATGTTATATATATCATCTTCTAAATTAATCGATGGAGAAAACATAAAAGCATCGTATTTAGAAAGAGTTGATCTTTAAATGATCAAAAATAAAAAAAATAAAGAAATATAATAAATAAATTAATATTTTATTAATTTTTCAATTATAAATTTTGCAAAGCTATTTACAAAATCGATATTATTTTGTACAAAATAGAATACTATACAAAAAATAAAATATTTCAAATATTTGAATTAACGCTTTTAATAATCAGCAGCATTGCTGGCTAAGTAATCACGGCGACCGATGTTGGATGCTTGTTTATTTTGGATAGCTTCCAATTTAGGGCATTCGGTAATTCTGTGACCAAGACCACCACAATAACTGCAACCACGCTCATCTGAAATATAATGAAAACATAGTTTATTTTCTTTTTCATAAAAAAAAAAATAAAAAAAAAAAATAAATGCGAAAAAAACATAAATTATTTTACCTCCCAAATTGAGATATTTTTCATTTTCTGAACAAAGTTCCAGCAAAAATGGTGGAACTTTTTGTTTCGCTTCCATAAGCAAATGTTTAAGATCTAACAATACAGATTCGTCATTTGCTTTGTTAATAAACGTTGTCGCTATTCCAGTTCGTCCAGAACGTCCAGTTCTTCCAATTCTATGTACTATATATAAAAATTTATATTTTAATTCATGAATTGTAAACTTAACAACTTATTAATGATATAAATTACCATAATTTTCAACATCATCCGGCATATCATAATTTATAACATGTTGTACATCAGCGAAATCAAGACCTTTAGACGCAACATCTGTTGCAACCAATACATCTTTTCGTCCTTCACGGAAAGCTTCTACAGAGCGTGATCTTTCTTCCTGATCTATAAAACGTTGATTAAACAAATCAAATATTTGAAACATATTTAATATAATTTTTATATTTTATTTATATTAAATTTTAATTTAATGCACCTTTTCCGCCATGTATTGCTACTGCTTCAACACCTTTTAATAATAAATATTCGTGAATAGCATCTACATCTTGTTTTTTCTCGGCAAAAATAAGTACAGGTGGTGGAGTCTTTTGTAAACATTCTAAGAGATATACTATTTTAGCTTCTTGTTTGACATATTCAACTTCTTGCACTACGTTCATAGACGCTGCACCTGCGCGACCAACATTAATCGTCACAGGTTTTACTAAAGCAGAACGGGCAAAATTTTGAATCTTTTTTGGCATAGTAGCAGAAAATAATAACGTTTGTCTCTGTCCCTATATAAAATATTCAAATATAGTGCAAATAATTTTTATATAATAAATATATCATAGTAAAATATATTTACCCTGAAAAATGAAAAAATTGTTCGTACATCTTCTTCAAAACCCATATCGATCATACGATCCGCTTCATCCATACAAAGATATCGACAAACGCTAAGTTTTACCATTTTTTTATCTAACATATCCATTAATCTTCCAGGAGTTGCCACCATAATATGTACACCTCTATGATGAAAGAAAAGATATTATATATAGTATAATATAAGTGAAAAGACACAAGGATACTTACTTATTAATAACTTCTAAAGATTCTGATACAGGTACACCTCCAATTGCTAAACAGCTGCGTATTTCAGGACAACCTGCTTGTCGTAAACTATTTGTATAATGTCGTATAATATCATAAGTTTGTTTCGCTAATTCTCTGGATGGACAAATAATTAAACCTATAAAGAATAAGAACAAATTACATTTTATTTTTTATATCTTTTATTTTTTATTTTATTAAAATACCATATTCATACCATATGGTCCTTCATTTCTCACAAATGGCATAGCCACTTCTTGTTCTAGACAAAACATTATAATAGGTAAAACAAATACTAATGTTTTACCACTACCAGTGAAAGCAATACCAATCATATCTCGTCCAGATAATCTATAATATATTAAAAATATAAAAAAAAAATTAATATTGTATAAAAAATTAAAGATATATAGTTAATATAATACTAACACTGTGGGTATTCCTTGAATTTGAATTGGTGTTGGTTTAATGATACCCTTTTGTTCCAGACCATTTAATATACCTCTATGAAATTTCATTTCTTTAAAACTTTTCAGTGGTGGTGGAACATCATCTCCTTCTACTAAAATCCTAAGTTTTCTTCTTATTCTTTCATGTCTTGCTTCTCCTGCGGTAAGAACTGCTCTTGGAGGTCTCCAACTAGTCTTTATTGGCTCTTCATATTGAATACCTTTTGCTAATTCTGCTACACCCATTAAAGCTTTATTTTCTGCTACACTCTCTAAAATCTTTTCTTCTTCTTTTAATTGTTTCTCCATAGCACTTTCTTTTTTAGCTA